ACAGGCCGGTGATTTGCCTACATTCATTTTTTACGAAATACATGGATATCTTAGTTGCTTCGTACATAAATTTGCACGAATACGCGGAAGCCTAAGAACTCCATTGTTAATCTCTTTGTATGAGCCGTCTATTTTAAGTCCGCTACTACTACATCTTAGCTGAACCAACGCTACCACACTGACTGACTAAATGGTAAGATTAGCACACCAGAAGCACGATGGCTACGGCAAGCTGACTAATGCTATTTACGGAGTGAGAGCGCTCATTGCCGCGCGTGCTTGGGGCTACTCACACATTGGCGCGTTGTTACATGCACACAAATCACTTCTGTCTAATTATCCTTCAGTAGGTCAACTCTTAAGCTGAAACATTTCCAACGCTTTTGGTGCGTCTGCATTTCTTCAATAATACTATAAGATTCAATTTATAAACGAAGCGGCTATTCGGACACGGCTACCAGAAGTGAGAGATTGGGATTAAAAAAAAATGTTTAAAAGATTATTGTTGGGTTTGTAAGATAAAATCTGATAAAACGAAAGATAATTGAATGGCCTATATGTTTGTGAAATTAATTCTTCAGTTTAACTAAAATAAACTACCACAAATGACATACGAACAGCATTTTGTCAAAATAAATAGACCCGGACATGCATCGCCGCTATACGGACCCGGGTCCCTTTAGACTAAATGCTATTCGAATGTATTTTACCCTACATTACGGATTGGTAAAATATGATAATTTCTTTAAATGAAATTCTTAAACATAAAAGAAAAAAAACAATACCTCAATTTAATCGAAATTTCTTCTTGATTCTACTGAGTAGTTTCAACACGTGTTCATAAAGTGGATCGCATGTCCCTATTCCTCATCAGATAAGAAGTTATTCGATGCACGGTTTTCTGTGTTACACCAGGGGCCTTAGTGTTGACTGATGAGTTTTATTTACCAGTGGTGTCATTCGATTTAGAGATTAAATAATTTTTTTTCCCGATTTAAAGGTCATTACTTGCCTTTATGTAGTCCTTCTATTTAATCTTCAGCATCATCAAATTGTTTGATGTCGGTGTGTTACAACAATCTTTGATATTTATCTTATCACTCTTGATTCTAATCCTTACAACTTTCTTACGGCACCCTTACAACTCCCTTAGTGCACCTTTAAACAACACCCTTACAGGAGTATAAATGTTTGCAAACATAACTCTTGCACATGTGCTTTCCTATAGGTCAATTTCCTCTTTCTCTCTTAGTGACTTAAACAAGACCACCCCCCCTCCCGCACACACACACGACTACACACAATTCTCCGTTCTCCACTTTTGACTATACATAAAGTGATATAGCACCAGACGACAGCATCTTTCTCCCCATCCCCCAACCCTCCCACGGCCACCTAGCCACGTGTCATTGTGGCTGTTACTTATAAGAGACGTACGCATTCCCAGTTTGCGCACTCTTATCGAAGCGAGCGAGACGAATGTGGTTAGTGGACTGCACTGGCGTGATTATGGGGAGCGGTGGAATTGCGGACCATTCACAAGGGTAACACCCTCACATGGTACTTACTACCTGCTATGGGCAGGCCGACTCAATGGGAGCCTTATCTGCGCTAGCCACAACCGGATGCTCCTTGAAGCACTTAGATGAGGATGTCATTTTAAACGCAATCTCACTTAGAGAATATTCATTAGAATGAGATATGCCGACGTAACGCAGAAGAACCGAAAAGATATTTACGTTCAGAATCTTAAAAACAAACAAAGTCATTTTCTATCATGTTACGGAAATCAAATAAATGTAAATGCGAAAAAATATCCTAAATACGCTTTTATTGTAGTAAAAGTTTAAGTATTATTATTATTATAAATTACAAATACAGTTACGGTAATAACTAAGGAAATAGTTTTAGCATATTATCCGAATTTAAAAGTTATGGGAAAAAAGTTCATTAAACAATTCTGATCTAAGTGCATTGTTAATTTTGCGAAATAAAATTAAAATTAATTTTCTCTAAATATACAAACAAATGACACCAAAGCGCGAATCGCATATTTTATACAAAACTCTTAAGTTTCTTTATTTTAATAAGCACGAGTTACAAAACTGAAAATTTATTTCCCCATTCCTACAAGTTAAATTCATAAATACAATTGATTGCAGACACAATTTTTTGCTTTATATTTTTAACATTTTATAACTTTTACATTTTTTAATTCCAAAAATATTCTTTTATTAAATTTATAACGTAATAAAAACGGAACCGTAAATATACTTCTAATAAGAAAATGCAATTTAAGTCATTTAGTACAGAGAAACTCCATTGCTAAATAGCATTCTCTAATCCACTTATAACTCATCCAAATAAGAACAAAACATATGAAGTGCAAAATATGTTAGTTTGGGTATGGAAGAGACTTCAATCCGGTGAAAGATTGTATTAATTTTATTTAAATCTGGGTGGGGGAGAGGGGGTTAGTCACTTTGCCCAAGGAAGCACAAGATACGTCTCAAAATAAATGATTGCATTTGATAAATAATTAATTTTCTTGGGTAAATACATTTCGGAGGTAAGAGATTAGGACGTGTACATTTTTACATGGATGACAATATATTTAAATCCTATGGTATTACATTTGTGGAAAAAAGAGATGTTAAATTCTCTTTTTACAATAAACGTGTGTTTACTAATTAAGCAAATAAATAGCGTTAACAAATTGTGGCTACATTTATATCAGTATACCCATAAATATCAAAACCCAATCATTTTACAGACTTGAAAAATTATTTTTTTAAAAAATGGAGTTGGGTAAATATATTCTTTTTTTTTTTCAAATGAAAATATATTTTTGTTTTTACTTTGCAAAAAGTAAAGAGGTGTGTATTATTATAAGATTAACAAGTTAAATTTTAAAAAAAAGACCGCAATTCTGTTATAGACGTGAAAAACGGTTGCGAGTATCTACTTTAGATAAAATAATTCTCTGTTTTACGATTTTCTGATAATGCATAATTTAAAAAAAAAAATAAAAACATGGCTCAAGTGTTTTTAAATTTTTCATCAAGATATTAATATATCAAATTTCTTTAATATTTAATATAGATCTATTTGTATCATATTATTATGTTTTTTTACAATTTTTAGAGAAAAACTGTAAATCAAGGGCACGAAAAAAGGTAAATCTAAAGTATTTCTCTAACGTAGAAAACGTCCCTCAATTAACTTCTTTAGTGACAAAATTGATATAATTAGTGATAATTTAGACTAGGGAATTAAAAATCATGTTTAGATGAAAAAAAATAATTTAGGAATTTAAAAGGGGGTAAGGTAAGCGTTTTATATATAGCAGATAAATATTTTTCTAATCTTAGTGAAGTTAGAATCGTAAATATCATTACATAGACACCTCTTTTTAAAGTTAGGAATTGTGATGAGTTTTTGAAATAGTAGGTACAAATTATCGCAATGGGCCTACCATTATTATCCCGATAACATCGGGTCATTTATTCTAGTTATATAGATTGGGCTAAAAAAAATTCATATGCGTCTTTAAAAAGATCTTTAAAATACACGGTAAACATTTCAAGAAATGAAAAAAAGATATTTAAAAAATTGAAGTAACAAAACTGAAGCTTTAAGTACCATCATTTTATAAAAATTCATTCAAAATTTAAGTTCTTCCTTTTTAAAATGAGACGCGAGCATAAAATGTATCTCTTACAGAGATGCATCAACTAAAGTGGAGAGCGGTGGTGAATTATTATTTCGTAAATGGTGCGTTCATACTTACCATTGAATAATTAGACACAAACAATTTGTGTCAATATAGCAATATATGTTTAGCTTTAATCCTGATTATACATAATACACCAGTAAACGTTTTGGCAAATGCCTTCATCAGTGTAACAAGAAACATTTAAATAAATATAAATTGAATCTATATATAATATGTATATAGATATACATGTATCCTACCTAACAAGAGAAAAAAAATAGAATAGGACTGGGCGCAAAACCCAAACAAAAACAAATAAAAGAAGAATGGGCAGGAAGTGATTTGAAGTAAAATGTGAAAAAATCAAACAGGCGTGTAGCAAATTGCATTATATAACGCTGCGTATATTAGCTTTGTTGTATGTTTTCCTAGCAATTATGTCTCTGGTGTGAAGCAGCGGCGTCATTTCAGGTTTTTCGGGGGGGGGGGGTTTTTTAATTTGTTCTTTAATGGGGGGGCCACAGTAAATAAAAATTAAAATAAAACCGGAAAATTAAAAAAAAAAGGGGGGGGGAAAAAAAAAAAATTTAAATAAAACCTGCAAATTCAAAAAAAAAGGGGGGGGGGATACAAATGCACCGCCTTGCCTTACACAAAGAACGCCCCTGGTCTGAAGGTCAACACTCGAGATCTGTGCCGTTTTAAGATATCAAATATTTAGATATTATGCCAGCTATTTGAAGTGTGTCTTATCTCAGCAATGACGATAGGCCAATAGAAATGCTCGTCACAAACAGTTGAAACAGTAAACATTCAAACAAAAGATCATTGTTGAAAGATCAAACAACAATTCATAACATTATATTTCATAAAACTTTCATTCTAAGGCCATTTCAACATCATGCTAATAACACAACACAAACAATAATAAAATATGTATCAATAAAGTTCAAATATTAAAACAAGAAGATGTTAGATGTTTAAATATTAAAACAAGAAGATGTTAGTGGTTAAAATATTGAAACAAGAAGATGACAGAGGTTCAAATGTTAAGAAGATGTTAGGGGTTCAAATATTGAAAAAAGAAGATGTTAGATGTTTAAATAATGAGAACAAAAAAGATGGTAGGGTTCAAATATTGAAACAAGAAGATTTATTGAAAAAAGGAGATGTCTTGAAACAAGAAGATGTGTTGCTAATGGTCATCAGATTTGGGATCATTAATTTTAGCGCAAAATGTATTTTTCTCATCCTCCACTTCTCTCATAGAGGCGCGGTACTGAGACTGTCTCTTGGCCTCTCTCTTATAATCTTCAAGTTCCATTCGTTTTGTACGTTTGAAAAATCCAAACTGAGATTAAAAGTAAAGAAATATGAATGAGAGACAAAATAGATGAGCATGACAGGGAATTGTTCGAAGTCAAAAAATATGAATGAGAGACAAAAATAGATGAGCATGACAGGGAATTGTTCGAAGTCAAAAAATATGAATGAGAGACAAAAATAGATGAGCATGACAGGGAATTGTTCGAAGTCAAAAAATATGAATGAGAGACAAAAATAGATGAGCATGACAGGGAATTGTTCGAAGTCAAAAAAATGGGAATGGAAAAGGAAAAATCAAAAGTTTTAACTAATATTTTCAACAAAAAAAATCGATGACATTGGAAAATATTATTGCCACTGGTTATATTTTGGCTCAGGTTAAGTTTTCTTAAATAGTATTCTGCCCGATCCTTTTATATTTGAATCTATTTATCATGTGTAGAATTATGATGCATTTGTTTAATTGCAAAGGATTCATCGAAGCCAGAGAGTTAAATTTATTTTAAAAGGGAGATAAACATTGAGGGAACAATAAGGAAAATATTTTTTTTCTTATTGAAAAATAACTTGATTATCTCTCATTTGATCAAATTTCAAAATGCTTAGTGACTAATTTAATGGATCGTTAGACACAATATTTATTGATATTTTGAAGTGTATTGTTCTTGTTGAGTAACCTATTTCGTTTTAGGAATTTGATCACAAATCTACAAAAACAAAGTTAACAATAATTCTTATAGCAGTATGAACTGATCTATTTCTTTTGCAGTAAATATAATCTACTTCTTTTATATAGTAATGGGTTTAAACAAATGCTACCTTCCAAAGAATGATAACCAGTATTGTTATAAGCACAAGTCCAGCGACAACGCTTCCAATGATGACCCACAGTCTGATGCCAGACTGCTGCGGCAGATAGTGGAACAGCGTGGGTGTCTAAAGGGTCACACAGAACATAGTGTTTCATTAGACAGACATCTAGTTTATACAAGTCATAGGATTCGGCTGGTAAAAAGTTGAGGCATGTTGTATCAAACTAAAGCACTATAGAAATTATAATATTAGGAAGTAAAGAATGAAGATTTGTAGCCGACATGGGCCACAGCATTTTTTTTTTTGGCTGTTTAAAAAAAAACAGATATAAAAAAAAAAAAGAAAAATTAAAAAAAAAAAAAAAAATAAAAAAACCACACAAAAAAAAAAAAAAAAAAAAAAAAAAAAAAAAAAAAAAAAAAAAAAAAAACAAAAAAAAAAAAAATATAATAATACAAATCTGTTGCATATCTTTTTAGACGTAAATGTTTGCATCTCAGCACGCTTGAAAAGACATTGATTGGACCTACTATCCAATCAGTTTTTTTTGTGTGTGTTAAACCTGTGAAAANAGTAAACATCTAAAACATCAGTCACAACATAAGTAAACATCTAAAACATCAGTCACAACATAAGTAAACATCTAAAACATCAGTCACAACATAAGTAAACATCTAAAACATCAGTCACAACATAAGTAAACATCTAAAACATCAGTCACAACATAAGTAAACATCTAAAACATCAGTCACAACATAATTAATCATCTCAAACATCAGTCACAACATAAGTAAACATCTAAAACATCAGTCACAACATAAGTAAACATCTAAAACATCAGTCACAACATAAGTAAACATCTAAAACATCAGTCACAACATAAGTAAACATCTAAAACATCAGTCACAACATAAGTGAACATCTAAAACATCAGTCACAACATTAGCAAACATCGTTTCAAATGAAACAGCATGATGTCATGAGTGACCACATTAATCTCTACATAACTCCTGGGCTGTGTTATAGTGGACAGGGCGCACACGAACACCTGGCACTGACTGGGGTCGTCTTCACAGCTCTGGAATTCAGCACGGACAAACATAGTTATGAAGAGCTTTCAAACAATTTTTAATTGTCATAAACATAGCATGACAGAAAAAGTTTCATATTTCTTAACCGATTTTTTTTTTAATTGAAGGCTATAAATAGGGAAAATACATCTGCTATACTTTGTGAAAACATAATACATTCAATTGTTTTGTATGGTGAGTAAAAACTAAAATCGATCTTTAAGGTTTATTTGATATTTATTCCATACCACTGTGTAAATTTTATTCCTTTTGACTTGTGCTTGTCTTTTTTTCCTTACTATAGGTATTCCAATGTCATAATCGTCAATTTCTTTGTCTGTTGACTCAGTAGTGATTACTAAAATAAAATTAAAACAAACTAACAAAAAATGATATAATATTTTTTTTTTAAAATTCAACCAATAAATAAGAAGCACTTATACAAAGGAAAGCATTATAGCATAAGATAAGGTATCATTTAAAAAAAAAGACTTTATACATGAGTTTTCTGTTACAATATAATATTGTTAAAAAGTTGCAGTTGGAATGTATTGACAAAACAAACTTTTTTTTTTTTTACCCGTTGGCTCGGTTGTGGTTAGATTTTCAAGGCGTAAGAAGTTCCCTTCGTTGGAGATCGTCCCATTTTCATAGCACGGGACCATCCTGCCATCTGCTGTCTTCAGCTGACATTAAATATAGGTGTCTTCTTATAATTTGTTTTAAAAGCACACAATTTTGAAATGTATAGCCTATAATCTACACAGATACCAGTATAGGTCAATGCAAAGAGATGGCACACTGACGTCATTTACGTGTTTTTGCTTTAGTGTCAATACCCAGGTTAGGGCCAATACCCAAGTTAGTGTCAATACTCAGGTTAGGTTCAATACCCAGGTTAGGTTTAGGGATAGATTTACGACATTTTAAAATTGATTTTTTATGTTTTATTCCTAATTTAAACAAAGTGAGGTATTTTATTTTACTTCTCGGTGCCATCTCTTTGCATTTACCCCATTATATATTGACAAAATGTAAATTTAGGCTCCACAGTTTTATGATAAAATTATATAGACCATGAATATTGTTTAACACGAAAGAGAAGGGACCGAAATATTTCTTCGTGTTAAAAAGAATTTCGTGATAAACAATGCCTGCATAAAAAAAATACATACTCACCAAAATTAAATTTATTAGAGTATTAGATACACTATTTAAATTTCAAATTATTGTACAATTTGTTCATACATGTATGGATGGATGTATGGATTTAAAAAATAAAAAAAAATAAAAAATCAAAGAAACGAATAAAAAAACTTAATAAACGTTAATAATTTATTTTTTTAAAATTAAAACATTTAACAAAAAAAAAAAAAAAGATAATCTCATATTTTTTGTGTGTGTTGTATTTTTCAGCATGAAATTGTCAACAAATTGAAAAAAAAAAAAAAAAATAAAAAATGAAAAAAAAAAAAAAAAAAACTTAATAAAAGTTAAAAAATTATTTTTTTAAAATTAAAACATTTAAAAAAAAAAAAAAAAAAAGATAATCTCATATTTTTTGTGTGTGTTGTATTTTTCAGCATGAAATTGTCAACAAATTGTTTGATATCGTCCATTATAGTGTCCACTTCGAGTTAACTTTATTTTACACCAGCCACGGCAGCCCCTTTACTTCTGAGCCCTCTACATTATCGCCGGCTGGGGTACGTATATTATTCATCCGGAGATGCGAAATCTTTTCGTGTTTAGAGTGTTAAGCGATTTTCGTTTCATATTAAAATAAAAAAAATGAATGAAAGCACCTAGTATTATGTCGGGACCGCATTATTTTTTGGTGTTAACCGAATTTTCATGTTAAATGTTTTCGTGTTAAACGTATTTGAGTGTATGCATGTGTCTATCTACATATTCAAACATGTTAATTTACATATAAAATGCTCAAATAAGTATAGGAAAATGTTCCTAAATTCTATATTTACTAATCGCAACATTAAGAACAAAAAGACAAAAATTTACTGTAACCAAAATGTTGTGTACATTTGCTATTCTACGGTGAAATAAGATCTGGAGAATTTAACTTCAACAAAATGATTTGTCTACGATACCAATTATTTCTCTGAAGCATACTTTCAAATATTCCTTACCAATTCATTTTTTTGTGGATAAAACAGAAGGACAAAAAACCGCACCTTAAAACGTTGAATAAAGAAACAAAATATTTCCCCGCAGTACAAGAAATCTGTTTGGCTTACCTGGACGTCAGTCTCTAGGACTAAAAACGACGAATCTTCTAATTTATTAGGGATGAACACGTAGACGCTACACGGTGGCAAAAAGCTCGGCCCTCCGTTCAGCATTGAAATTTTGTGGGTGACGATCATTGGCTTCTGGCTGCTTTGTACCGAAGGAGTGGCCCCTTTTTGGTTGACTTGTCTTACAGTAGTGACCGTGTGTTCTGTTGGCGAGGAGGAGCTGGTTGAAGAGATACAACAGTAACATGTAAATAATAAGTAACCCTAAACATATGTGGGTGCTGGGTGGCCGAGTGGTCTAAACTGAGCAAATCTCAAGCAAGGAAGGGACTCATCATCCTTGGATGGCAACCTCATCAAAGAGACGGAAACTCACAATCCAAACACGTAGGCGGATAAAATTGGTACAATGAAACATTCCGACAGCTCCTTCGACGCCACTGGTGCCAAGCTTTATCATCCACATCAGTGGTCCCCAAACCCCGGGCCGCGGATCAAATGGTACCGGGCCGCCCAAGAAACATTAAATAATTTCCATTTTATTTACTGTGGTGTATTTCTCTTGGGATTGTTCGCCTGTTGCACTGAGATCATCATATTTGGTGGCTAACCGTATTGCTAATGCTAAAAAGCCATTCACTATTGGTGAAGAATTGATCTTGCCCTCCACTAAAGACATTTGCCGTGCACTTCTAGGAGAGGCTGCTGTTAAAAAGATGCCATGGCATCTGTGAGATACAGCTGCGCGGCCGCGCAGCTTAAACGGAACATTGACTGTGACTAGGGCGCATTAAGGAAAAGGCCGAAGGCATTAGGGCACAATTGTTGGAGATGTTTAATACATCACCGTGGTACGCACAACAAGTTGTGGAATCTACAGATATCGACAACAAGGCAATACAACCTGTTTATGTGCGACATCTTTAACAGGAGGATGTGCATTATGATTTTTTTTTTATGTGCACTATCTTTGCCAACAAACACCACAGGAGCATAACTGTACAAGTCATTTTATGGTTATATATCAGAACAACTAAAACGGCCCTTTTGTGTTGGCATATGCACAGACGAAGCTGCTGCCATGTCCGGACGACTGTGTGGTGTAACGGCTCGGATTAAGGAGGTTGCACCTGAGAGTGAATGTACGCATTGCATCATTAACAGGGAAATACTGGCAAGCCACAAAATGTCACCGGAATTTAACAGCGTATTGATTGATGTCGTTAAAGTTATTAACCACATCGAAACATACGCCCTTAACTCGCGCCCGTTGGAGCGACTTTGTGAGGAGATGGACGCAGAGCACAGATGCATTCTCTTGTACACAGCAATAAGATGCTTATCCATAGACAAATCGCTCACCAGTGTTTTTGAATTGCGAAAACCACTGCAAAGATTTCTCTCAGAAAAGAAGTTACCGCTGGTAACATATTTTGTTGAAAAGGTATGGATCGCAAAACTGGCTTACCTGTGTGACATATTCAGCCTGCTCAATGAAGTCAATCTGTCCCTTCAAGGGAAAATGACAACTGTTTTCAAGTTGGCAGACAAAGTAGCTGAATTTAAAGCCAAACTGGAGTTGTGGGGACGGCGCGTGAACAGAGGCATTTTGAACATGTTTCAAACATAACCGGGGATTTCAGGCGAGACTGAGTCTGAGCCAACGCCAGCCTTTAGGATGTGTGACCTACGCCCTACGCACCTACGCACAGGCTGCCGTGGCCATAGGGGTGCCTGAGGCGCCAAGAAAATATTTAAATTCCCTTCGTTTATTATAGTGAAGCGTGAACCTCTGGTT